TAAATGTCCTTTGGTAGTGCATTGAAAATTTCTCCCTAAAGGTATTAATTCCTAAGCTACTATGTGTTTGAGTTGCAATTGTGCATGGGCCTTGCCTGCCTGCCTGCTTTCCTTCCTTCCTTCCCTTCTTTCCTCCTTCCCTCCTTCCCACCTTCCCTCCTTCCCTTTTTTCCCTTCCAGTTGATTATTACTGGAGTAGAAAAAGGCTATTGATTTTTGTAAGTTTTTCTTGTATTTGGCAATCTTACTAAATTATCTTATTGACTCTAATAGCTTTTCTCTTGATTCTATTGGATTATCTATGTAAATTCTATCATCTCTAAATACTGATAGTTTAATCTCCTCTAATCTTCATCTCTTATTTCTTTTTGTTGTCTTGTCACATTGGTTAGGACAATACAATGTTGGGCAGTAGTAGCGATAGTGAGTGTCCTTGACTTTCCAGAGACTTAAAGGGAATGCATCTTAAGTTTCTCTATAAGTGAAATGTTTCATGTGAGTTTTGGCACATAGACTTTTCTGAATTAAGGAAGATTCCCTCTATTTTTAGTTTTCTGAGAGTTATAATCACAAAAAGGGTTTATCTTAATCAAATTCTTTTTAAAATTACTAAGATATATGATTTTCTCCTCTTTGACCCCACAAATGTTTAAAATTAAAACAATACATTTTCTGATTTTGAATCTTTACATTCCTAGGACAAACGATTTGATTATGGAGTATTATGTTCAGTTTGCTTTTTTTACTGTGTTAGCCATGTCACTTACATTTTCAAATTCACTAATATGTAATGTATAATATATATATTTCACCATTTTTACTATTTCCTAGAAGTGTCTATCATATCTGTACTTGTTTCTCCTTTTTCATGCAGTATTTTATTTATATCTCCTCTCATTTTGTCAGTCTTGCCAGAAGTTTGTCTATCTTGGTTAGTCTCCTTAAGGAGCCAGTTTTTGATCCAATGTTTCTAAAATACTTCAAAGCGGTCCCTTCTCTATGAAGCAGTGAAACAAACACTGTGGATCCTGAGTGCCTTGCTCGGCCACATGCTAGCTTTATAATCTTGGACACATTACTTTACCCCTCCATGTTTACTCAGTTGTAAAGTGGGAATAACAACCCTTCACTGTAGAATACTTGTGAGGATCAGATTAGAAAATTTGCTTACAGCATATGAAACACCGTGGGGTGCGCTGAAAGTATTTAGTACAGGTTAATTCCCATCCTTGGTGACTGTATTAGTCAGGGTTCTCCAGAGAAAGAGAACCAATGGCAAGGGTTGTATGTATGTGTGTGTGTGTGTGTGTGTGTGAGAGAGAGAGAGAGAGAGAGAGAGAGAGAAATATCAAGTCTAGGAATTGGCTTATGGGATTGTGGAGATTCAAGCCCAAAATCTGCAGGATAGGTTGGCAGGCTGGAGACCCAGGGAACAGTTGTATTCCAAGTCCAAAGGCAGTCTGCTGGCAGAATTCCTTCTTGCTCAGCAGAGGTCAGTCTTTGTTCTGTTAAGGACTTCAGCCGATTGGGTGAGACCCACATTATGGAGGGTAGACTGCTTTACCAATCCACAGATGTACATGTTAATCCCAGGCCTAGCATGGTGCCTCACACCTGTAATCCTAGCATTCTGGGAGGTCTAGGTGGGTGGATTGCTTGAGCTCAGGAGTTCAAGACCAGCCTGAGCAAGCATGAGACCCCATCTCTACTAAAAATAGAAAAAATAAGGAGGTCTAGGTGACTTTGGACGTCCTCATAGTCTTGGTGCAGACTTAGTCCAGGTCTTAGCCCACAGGTTTATTTTTCTTTCCCTTTGGACTAAAGGCCACTGCTGCAAACATGATTTGCCAGATCCTTGGTCGGGCCAAGAAGCATCCACTTGATATTTATTGGAGTCGGAGGTACTGGAGCAGCACTGTATGTCTTGCATCTGGCATTGTTCAATCCAGATGTTAGTTGGGACAGAAAGAATAACCTGGAACCCTGGAACAAATGGGATCCCACTGATTAATACAAGTTCTACTCAGTGAATGTGGATTATAGCAAATTGAAGAAAGACTTCTAAATTAAATGTTTCACAATAAAGCTGCTTAGAATGAAGATCTTCCGGAAGCCATCTGCACAATTTTCCACTTAACCAGGAAATATTTTTCCTCTAAATGCATTAAATTATGTTGATGTATACTGATTCATAAATAACTGAAACTTGGGGGAAAAAAAAAGAAAAACTAGCCAGGCATAGTCGCACATGCTTATAGTCCCAGCTACTCAGGAGGCTGAGGCAAGAGGATTGCTCAAATCCAAGAGTTTGAGGTTGCTGTGAGCTATGATGCTATAGCTCTACCCAGAGTGAGACTCTGTCTCAAAAAAGAAAAGAAAGGAAAGGAAAGGAAAGGAAAGTTAATCCATCCAAAAATAACCTTCATAGAAACATCCACAATGATATGGACCAAATATCTGGGCGCCATGGCCTAGCCAAATTAACACATAAAATTAAATTAACTATTACAGTGCCTTTGTTTACACTGTGCCCTTTGCCCCTGGGAGGCCATGTGGAGATTTGAAAACAGCGACCCTTCCTCCCTTCCTCCAGCAGGTGAAGTTCTCACTTGCCTCCTCCACCCAGCCAGCCGTATGCAGAGCACACTCTTGCGTGGTGGCCCAGCCCACTTCTCTGCTTGGTTTTCCTGCAGCTCATTTCTCATGGTGCCCAGGGCCTTCCCATTCAGGTTTCCACTTCCTTGGTGAAGTCTTCTTGTTCTCCCCCAACTGCAAGTAATCTCTCTCTCTGCCATCCACATCACCTGTCATTTGTGTGACTCTAGATATTTATCTCTACCTTATGTCCCAGGTATTTTGTGTAAAGATGTTATCACTCCACCCGGATTAACCCCTTGGAAGTTAGCAATTGTAGTTTAGCTGTCTTGAGATTCTCACTGTGCCTGGGGGGCTCAGAAATCATTCATACTACTTGTATGAACGACAATCAGTGTGGAGACCTATAAAAGGAAAAAGCAGAGGCATCATTAACAAGGAGAGTTTATTTGGGCCAGGATTTAGGACACAGCTCCAGACTGCCTTGGAGAGTGCTCCAGAGAACACAGGAGAAGCTCAAATTTTTTTCAAAAGAGAGGATAAATCAAGAGGGGGCCATTACAAAAACTGATGAGGAATTCTCACTGGTTTACAGAAACCACGTTGTTAGGATCAGTGTGCGATGTACAGTGTACATTGTTGAACTGTAGGGTGTATGATGTTGTATGGCTATTTGGCATCATTCGTTCTGGAGCCTACATGACAAGTGGCTTCAAGAGGTGATTACTTAGCTCAAGGGGGAGTTAGAGGTGACTGCTGTCACAGTTCAGTGCATCTCTGGGTCTGACAATTTAAGGGTACTTGGATTCCTCAGATAAAAAGTTTTCTTTTTGCTTTCTCAAAATGTAAGAACTGGGAAGAACTTTCTGTGATATTATGTGGATGTGGGAGTCAGGCAGGCTTGTGATGCAGGGGTAATGGCAGAGCATGAAGGTGGCGCTGGTGACAGTGACTAGGGTTTATTGAGCTTACCACATGCCAGGCACTGGTTCCACACTTAAATGGTTCATGTCATTAAATCCTTACAACAATCCTCTGAGACAGGTGCATATAATTAGCTCCATTTTGCTGCCAAAGAAGCCCAGGCAGGCCATTGAGGTGGTGTCCGAGGCCTGTCTGCCTGACTTCAAGGTCTGTACTTTCAACTACAACAGCAAGCAGGCTCCCTGAATTTTCCAGCTGCTGCATTGACTATACTCCAGCCATTATGTCTTGACACTGTACAGACATTGTCCCTAATCCTCAGAGCAAATGTGCAAAGTGTCAGCATCCTCACTTTGAGATGAGGAAATGGGCTCATTCTAATTAAGCAACTTACCTAAGGTCACATTAAACAGAAGCGGTGGATCCAAGGTTAAAACCCAAGGTTAAAACTAGATCTCTCCAATCCCAAAGCCAAGGCCCTTTGCTCTGCATCACATGCACAATGTTCAGAGCCACTGAGAAAACTCTTGTGGCTGGAGCAGAAGACGGTGTGGATAGGAGAATGAAGGCAGCTAAGGTCAGAAGGGTGGATCTGGCTCAGCGCCTGTGGCTCAAGTGGCTAAGGTGCCAGCCACATACACATAAGGTGGCGGGTTCGAATCCCCAGCCCGGGCCCGCCAAACAACAATGATGGCTGCAACCAAAAAATGGCCTGGCGTTGTGGCAGGCGCCTGTAGTCCCAGCTACTTGGGAGGCTGAGGCAGGAGACTTGCTTGAGCCCAGGAGTTGGAGGTTGCTGTGAGCGTGATGCCATGGCACTCTACCCAGGGGCATAGCTTGAGGCTCCGTCTCAAAAAAAAAAAAAGAAGGGTGGATCTGCCCCAGACTGCAAAAGGCCTCACCTTCCGGGATGGGTAATCAGGACTGACTTTTGAAAATGAGGGGTCCTGAGCAGTGACCTTGATTTGAAGATGGGGTGAGATGGGATGGACACCTAGAGGCCAGGGAATCCGAACCTACTGGAACTCTGCCCAGACCTGTGTGTGGGGAAGCACAGGGCTTCGCACAGCTGCAGGGAGATGAAAGCACCCAGGCCTGCTGAGAAAGTGATGTTTGAGCAGATCTATGACTTGTGAAAACAAGCTCATCCCTTGCATCTCAGCGATGCAAGTACTAGAGTACCAGGAGCAACTTTCCTCAGCCTTCTAGATCTCCCCTGTATGGCTTCTGAAGAGCTGCTGGAAAATCCCCAGGGTGGGGAAGTGGAGTTCTGTCCAAGGTGAAGTTCAAGCAGCATGGTGTCCCCCCAGGCCCATCTCCTAGGTTCAGATATGTTCAGAGGTGGGTAAAGGTGGGGAGACCCAGGAGTGGTGCAGTGGAGATTTTGACTCTTGGCCACTGTTATCGCAGGGTGAGCTGGTCCTTTCAGGGTGTGGGTGTCTCTGTCACAATGTGCCTCACCAGTGCCCATCGCTATCCAGGTTATTGCTGTAGTCATGGACCTCTTCACTGATGGTGATATCTTCCAAGACATTGTGGATGCCTCCTATAAGCGCCGGGTCCCAGTGTATATCATCCTGGACGAGGCAGGAGTGAAGTATTTCCTGGAGATGTGTCGGGGCCTGCAACTCACTGACTTCCGTATTCGGGTAAGTTGCACCACTGGAGTGGGTGTGGAGGGGGGCAGGAGAGGAGACAGAGGCTTCCTTTGCCCCTTCCTCTGGCTCCTTTTATGTCTCTTCCCCAGTTCAAAGACACAGGTGAACGTCAAGATCTCAAGCCCTTTCCTTTTGTCTAAAGCCTAAGCTCACAAACTGATTACCACTAAATGACATGCCCAGCTTAAATTTTACCCCAAGGTTGCTGAGGCTGAAGGAGGCAGCTCTGACCCAGTCCTGGGGTGCTCAGCCTCCAGAGTCACTGACTTCACTGTCAAGTTCAAAGTTAGGGCTGTGGTTCTCTTCTGGGGAGCTTTGGGAACAGAAAGGAACCACCCTGGGCTTGTTCATGCCCAAAGCAAGATTTGGGGACTTCCTCCTACTCACCAAAGAGGGTTTTATATGTAAAGTTGTAGGAAGCAGAGACTCTAGCGAAGACAGGAGCCACTAGGCAGGGCCTGTGGACAAGTTGGCTCTTCCCCTGCTGAAGCAAAGACTAGGCACAGGCCCGCCCAAGCTGGGTGTCAGGGCCCTTCTCCTCTTCTCAACAGAACATCCGTGTCCGCTCCGTGACAGGCATCGGCTTCTACATGCCCATGGGGAAGGTCAAGGGGACCCTGTCATCAAGGTTTCTGATGGTGGATGGTGACAAAGTAGTCACTGGATCTTACAGGTGAGAAGGGCCTAGATGGCCTTTGTTCATGGCAGCTATTCAGGAGAATGCCATACCAGAGCCTCACAGTCATGAGTTTTAAGTATTATTTGATCCGACGGCAAAGAATAGCTTCCTGTCTAGTCCCCTCCCTCACAATTTCTGGTTGATGGATTATTCTAGAAATAGAGTCAACCCTTACTGAGGACTCGTGCTGTCTACTTTTCATGGTCCAGTTGCAACTAATTGCATTTCGAGGTTAGTTGGTGGATGGGACAAGCAGGAAGTAGAATGGACCAGAACTGGGAAAGAACTGCAGGGGTGTGGCAGGAATGTCTCCACAATTTTGATTTAAAAGTAAATTACCAGGAACACAAGAGACTATATCTGCATAGTTTCTGCCCTCTAAGTTAAAATCTTGCCCAGGAGAAGAGAGACCCAAGTACATAAAACAATTAATAAATGGCATGAGTCCCCTTAGATAGTGAAAGATTGGATTTTGATTTTGGTTTTGGTTTTTATTTTTCTTTAAAGAGTAGGCTTTGCACACACTAAGTGCTCTAAAAATTAAAAAAAGAACCAATAAAAAAAAGTAGGACAATATTAATAATAGTGGCAGGTGCAGCTACTATTTATTAAGTGTGGGTTTGTGCAGGGTACTGAGCTAAATGTTGGATGTAGCTGCTCTAAGCTGCTCTGGGCCAGGTGTCCCATGAGCTTCACTTTACAAGACACACCCAGGTACATGCCTGGTGTGAGCCCAGGCCTGATGTCTCAAGCCCTTCCCTGCATCTGCTGCCTGCTTTCTGCATTTGAGGCCAAGATCTGGAGAAAGGGAGGGTTTGGGGTGGTGGAGGGAAAGCAGTCCAGCGCGGAAGCCCAGAGGCACCTTCCATGGGCAGCGAGGGGTCTGGGGGCAGTGGACATCAGGCGGGGGTGGTGCAGAGGTGGCTGCTGACAGGGCAAGAGAGGCTTGGGCACATGTGTCTTGCTTTTCTGACCCCATGCTCTCAGGTTCACCTGGAGTTCCTCCTCCATCGATAGGAACCTTCTCCTCCTCCTGACAGGGCAGCATGTGGAGCCCTTTGACGTAGAATTCCGGGAGCTGTACGCCATCTCTGAGGAGGTGGACCTGTACCGGCACCTGGGCCTGGCAGGCAGACTTGCCCTCAACTACTCCTCCACTGTGGCTCGCAAGCTTATCAACCCCAAGTATGCCTTGGTGGCAGGCAGCCGCCACCCGCCGGGCGAGATGATGCGCTGGGCTGCCCGGCAACAGCGGGAAGCCAGCAGCAACCCAGAGGGGCAGGAGGAGGGTGGCGGAGGTGGTGAGTCAGCCCGGCGCCTGGAGAGCTTCCTGAATGACCTGGTTACTATAGAGCAGGTGCTGCCCCCCGTGGATCCCCTCCCCTCAAGAGAGCTGAGCCAGAAGGATGGTAGGGTGGTCTCTCGTATGCACATAGACCTGAAACCCAAATCCCAAGAGGCAACTACCCGAAATGGCATGGGAGAAGCTGCCAATGGAGAGGCCGCCCCAGCCAAGGAAAGCAAGCGCTTTGGCAGCAGGCTCTTCAGTCAACGGGCCAAGAGGCCGGCAGCACCCAATGGCATGACCACCTCCCTCTCCACAGAGAACTTTGCGGAAGTGCAGTTTCTGATGGGGAAGAGGCCCAATGAGAGTTCCAGCACCGACATCCCAGGTGAGCCCTCTTCTCACAGGTCAGTGCCTCCCCGGGCCTCCTGCCCTGCATCTGGCCCTGTCCAGGAGCACAGCCGCATATCTGCAGAGGGGTGGCTGTCCATCTGCTGCCACAAAGAGAGCAGGAGCTCTGGGGTCAGAGGGTTCTTGGTTATATTCTGGCTCTGGCCTTGTGGCTTTGGAAAAGTCACTGTAATTCTGAGTTTGTTTCTTCCCTGAAAGGGGAGAATGATGCCCACCTTGCCAGCTGTTCCAAGGCTATAAAGTGCCCATTATAATGCTGGGCATGCAGTAGTCTGAAGCTTTTATTGGTACTTCTAGAGGTACTTCTATTCAGATTGGCCCTCGTGGTAACTCAGGTAAATAAAGTAAGCTTAGAAAGTTTCTCTTTTGTAAATGAAGAAATGGAGGCCCAGCACAGCTGGGGGCATGGCTAAGTCTCAGTGTCAAGGGCTCTTTCTAAGAAGCCTTGCTCCTTGTCAGATCACCTGTCATCAGGATTTCACCTGGTCAGACACACCTCACCCTCACCTGGGCCCCACCAGTACCCTGACCCACTTTCCTGTTTCCATGGTAAATAGTTTGATTTGTCCAAGTGTCTGTCTGATGAGTGGTGTTTGCTCTGCTCACCCTTCAGGAGAGATTGTTCTAGAAAGTCAGTCTCGGCTTGGCGCCTGTGGCTCAAGTGGCTAAGGCACCAGCCACGTACACCCAAGGTGGCAGGTTTGAATCTAGCCCAGCCCGCCAAACAACAATGATG